AGCAACCATGTCAAAATATAATTCATACTAAACGATGCCACAACAACCACCAACAAACATATCATGCAGTGCAGCATCTATCAGTACTAGCATACATTATCCTACAAAAGTATTGATTATTTCGGGAACTACCACACCAAGAATCAATGATACTAGCAGTGAAAAAAGACGACAAATTCAACACCATTCAATGCCACCATCCAAGCTCGTTGGGCCTTGGCAGATGAACCTCAGGAGTAAAGGGTGAGACCAGTCCGTGTACGATGTGCCTCACTTTAAAAATCCACCGTGTAGGCTCGAAGGATACACCCACTTTTTAAAGTCATGTAGCGACAGGCAAGGACGAAACGGTAGGTGATAGGGTGCACTGGAAGCCGCAGACCTAACCCTATATGCAAGCGGTTCAGGACATTGATCGCTCGAGATTAACCCCGGAGATAACAGTCTTGTTCGGCAGCATCCTGAACGACTAAGTGGCCTCTTTCAAAGAAAGTACTATTTGCCCCATACGGAGAGGGGTCTAAAAAGGGTGCATTAATCAAAGTTCATCTCTATCTCTATTCGGTTGATTAACCGCAGTCAAACAAAGACAGAAAAACCAAAGTATACACCTGCCTTCAAAGGTGTACATGAAAAACACTCGTGTGCTGGAATATCAAAACCATGCTTGATAATACGAATATAGAAGGTTGTTGAAAGTCGTTTTGCTCTAATTTCTCACGAACTATCACGATTGAATGTCGACATTGCTCTCTTAGTGAAGTTCGTTTCTATGAGGATTGTATCATCAATGAACATGGTACCGGTTATATACTCTATTGATCAAGAAGGCTTAAAATTAAAAGTCATCTTCCAGAACTCCATCACCTCCAAACTCGAAAATCAACCGACAGATCATTCCCATCGTATTTTCTCCCTACATAACAACAAATAGCAAATTGTTCCCTTCACCATACATGCTCCAACTATGCAAGTTGACTCCATGAAAAAAAAAAATAGATTCTATATCGACCTATGAAGGTCATAATCCTTGACGTTAGAGTTGGAAGGAATTCCAAAGCCTGAAAAGGTGTATTAGGCAAGCATGACACTTGGAAACTTCAACGACAACGGACAGCTTCTGTTAAAGTTTTATGCCGAACAGAAACTCACCATGACAAATATTATCTTTCAGCAGAGAGACACTTCGAAGAC